GTAATTTATTATTATAATAGGCTGTACCGAACCGAATTTGTACCGTGTAAAATGCTGTACCGAACCGATGACGGTAATTAAGCTTGTACCGTACCGTACTGACTTTTTCGGTGCACCGCAGACCCCTAATATATATATATATATTAGTCTATATATATATATATACATATATAAAAATTTGAACGAATGGTGTTTCTGGCCTCTGGGGACATCAAAATGAAAAAGTAAATCGGTCCCGGGTCTAGGTCTTACCGTGCCACCTATGGTAATAGCTACTTCCCTATAGGGAAATTCGCTAAAAGAAGTGGAAGATTTTTGACTAAGTGACTAATTATTATAAGTAATGACATAAAATTCATGATAAAAAAAAAATCTTGAAGATGGTGCTTGTTTTCAAATCTAAAAATTTTCTGTGGAAAGTTTTATAAAAATAAAAGTATCAGGTGATGAAATTATAGCTACAAGATGACAATTTGTATCAGTTTAATTTCATGTCTTATTCTATTCATTTATTCATTTTTTAATTTAATTTTCGGGTGTTTGTCGTTCAGGTAATTATGAAGATGTCAATTTGCTTAACATTCACCTTAAAAACACATATTGCGTCGTCTGCATATCTTTGGTAAAATATTATTTTGTCCTTACATTTGGAATCCAATGCCATGATGTGTTTGACTTCAAATCGTTCAGAAATAACTCAGCTAATATGATAGATAATGGCGAGCCCATTGCTAAGCGTTCTTTTTGAATATAGTATTTGTCATTAAATTTAGTAGTTATTTGTGTAACTTGTGAGCAAAGTAGAACTTTGCTGCACATGCGAGATATGTTTACGAGTTTACGCGGAATTTATCTCGAGTGCAGCAAAGGCCATTTGTGGTCGTATTGCACATTATATTTTTCCTACAGTCACTATAAAGCATATAAATAATTACTCTTTCAAACACTATACAACACGTTTTTAGGTTAGGTTAAACCCATAAGCTTAGGTTGAGCAGAATGGGAAATACTGCACCAGCTGATTTTAGTCGTAGTATCTTTAAGTGTTACTTATTTTCATGAGTACATGTGTAAACAGTAATAATCAGTATAAACCGAATAAACAAGTATAAATACCGAATAAACAAGTTCTGCAAAATATGCCAATAAAACATTTTCTGACAATTTTGTAACTTTCTTCTTACTTAGGCACCAAGAGGAAAACCGTTTGCGTTTGTATGCTCATTCATACTTCTTTCTTGATTTTTCAGGTAACAGGTTTAATGAAACATGTTTTGCAGTTTCTGCTATTTCTTCTGGTCTACACATATATTCACAATCACTTTCACTGAGTTCATCATTTTTTAACATTTTAGGCCCTTTTATAATTAATTAATCTTTCAAATACTACACTTTAGGTTATGTTCAAACCAAGCGCTGAACGAAAATAGAATATAAACACGAAATGACAGGATAAATTGTAGTATTAATATTCAATCAGCTGATCATAGTAGTAGTATCTTTAATTGTTGCCAACCTATTTCCAAGTGTACACGGATTACGTGCATAATAAAACCACGCTGTTTTGTGTTGTTTGGTTGGGATCCTGGTGTACGCCAAAGTATAAACTGTGCGACAAATTATAAACGGTGCGACAAAGTAAGTAAATGCAGCAATTAGCAGCTTTCTGTGCTATAATCAGTGCAAGGAAGCCCAACTTTATCGGGTGACTGTATAGTACAGGTAAAATAGGGTTTTATAAACAACAAAATTTGTACATTCACAAAATTTCACCTGTGAGTTACTAATAATATGAGAAATGAAGATCCGATGAGTCCCCAAAATTTTGGGCGTCCTAAGGCCCTTTTTGGGGCTCTTTTTGTTCCGAAGGGCCCTTGTTCCTGAATAATTTTGTTTTTACGTTTAAGGTCGAGTGAGGTGTGGTTTTCGATGGTATTAGTTATTTTAAATCGATTGGGACTAGTTTTAAGTGTATTAAGCCACTCCATACAGGGTGTTTCGAAATATAAATACTTTTTACGATATTTAAACATTTATTCATAAAGTAATAAAATTAGTTACCTCCATGCTCTATATAAAAGGGGATTATTGAAAATAACTTTAATTTTTTACTATATAAGAGGGAAGGATCAATAGGAGTAAGAGAAAATATTAAATACCCTCGTCACAGCAAACCTGCAGACCTAGCAAATTTCCGTTTTACTTACTTGACTTTGAATTAAATCTAAAATAGCATTGCGTTTAGCGATTACCTAGGTTTGCTGCTACAAGGAGGCTAATAAAGTGTGTTTATAGTAAAATATTAATAGCCTTGTATAAAACAAATAAATTTGACAAGTTTGATCAAGATATATCTATTAACAAACAAACAAAATCATTTTACACTATTCTACATAAGAATAACATGGGAATTTTAAATTTACAATTTTATTATTTTTATCCGTAGCTAATAACCATACAAAAATACGTTAATATACTAAATTTTTTGTTTTTAAGCTATTTAAAATGTTCAAGGGAAAAATTGGGAAACTTTGTGTTTTGAGGGTAAAGTAAATGAGAAAACTTAATTTTTACCCCATAAACCTCGTTCCCATTGTTCAGGAAAAAAATGCTGCTCTGATGTCTTAGTGCTGTCCTGGTCGTCATAACTATCAAAGACAATAGTACTTGTATTTGATTGAAAATTATTTTTAAGGAACTTAAGATACAAGCTGCAAACGTCAGTATGAATGAAAGGTGTTTTTGCACCACATTGTTCGTGCTTTAAGATTGGTGTTGCCTGTTCTGCGATATGCAAGGTTTGTAAAGGGGAATCCCGCTTGAACACCAACTTGGACAAAATCAGTAAAGATGGACAAGTTGCTATGAATAATAAAATTGTTAATGAGTCGTCTGAGAATAATTATTGTGATGATGAAATTGTAAAGAGAGATAATACGGAAATTGTAGAAAATTAGCTTTATTTTAAGTAAATTTTTAGTTTAAGTCATTTTAATATGTAATGTAAGGTTTTATACAAATACAATTGTTTTAGTTTTTAATAAATGTAAAAAAATAACTTAAATAACTACCTAAGAAAAATACATACAATTTGAAATTGGTCTTAATAGATTTGCATAAAGAACACATTGACAGATTATTCACACCACCTTAAAAGTTGAAATTTTTGCGCGGTAACCTATGTTATTATGTTATTCTGTAGTGTAAAACTTAATCCATACCCTTTTACCCACCATATAACCTAACCCCCCTTACGGAGGATAACTTATCCCCCTTTAACTTCCCATACAGGAAATAAGCTATTACCGAAGGTCTTATGGTAAAACATAGACCCGAAACTGATTTACGTTTTCATTTCGATGCCCCCAGAAGCCTAAAGCACCATCCACTCAAAATATTATATATATGTGTTTATATACATATATATATAATATAATATAACCATGTTATATACGTGTCCGTAAACATGATAACTCGAGTAATTTTGGTTAAATTTTAACAAAACCGGCATAATCGCTCCATGGAACAGGGTTTTATGTGGTATAAATTTGTAATCTTTGACCCTCAAAACACAAAGTTTCCCAATTTTTCTCTAGAGCATTTTAAAGATCTTAAAGAAAACAAATAGTTTAGTATAATTACATGTTTTGTAAGTAGTGTATTAGTTACGAATGAAATTCAAAAATTGTAAATTTCAAATTCCATGTTGTTCTTAAGGAGAATAGTGTAAAATGATTTTGTTTGTTTGTTTATAATTATGTCTTAATAAAACTTGTCAAATTTATTTGTTTAATACTAGGCTATTAATATTTTACTATAAACACACTTTATTAGCCTCCTTGTAGCAGCAAACCTAAGTACATTTATTCATTAAAATCAATGCTATTTTAGATTTAATTGAAAATCGGGCAAGTGAAAATTCGCTTAGTCTGCAGGTTTGCTGTGACGGGGGTATTTAATATATCTTACTCCTTGTGGTCCTTCCCTCTTATATAGTAAAGAATGAAAGCTTCAATAATCCCCTTTCATATAGAGCATGGAGGTAACTAATTTTATTACTTTATGATTAAATCTTTAAATATCGTAAAAAGTATTTATATTTCAAAACACCCTGTATAGAGTGGTTTAATACACTTAAAACTAGTCCCAATCGATTTAAAATAACTAAAACCATCGAAAACCACACCTCACTCGACCTTAAACGTAAAAACAAAATTATTCAGGGACAAGGGCCCTTCGGAACAAAAAGGGCCCCAAAAAGGGCCTTAGGACACCCAAAATTTTGGGGACTCATCGGATCTTCATTTCTCATATTATTAGTAACTTACGAGTGAAATTTCATGAATGTACAAATTTTGTTGTTTATATGGAGTGTTTTTGTATTATTTTACCTGTACTAGTAGGAAAAATAGTTATATTTCACTATAATTTTGACTAAGTTGGTTAGTTCACATATTTGGTTTTCATTCAATGTGTTGTTTTTTATTAATTGTTTTTCTTGAATCGTGATCAGCGGGGATGTTTATAGAAAATTTATAGTATTTTTATTGAAACAAGTGAGTGGTCCCACAGAAAAGTAAGATACAGAAGAAACATTCAATTGTACACTTAAGTCGAGTTTAGCACCAGTCGCTTGTGTCTTAAGCAAATTCTATTGTTCGTCCCCTTCCGCTCTCCTCTCCCCCCGCTCCGTCTCGGAAGAGGCTGAGCTCTACAACTGTAGTTGTACTTCCTTGCTCAGTACTAGTATATTTCCGCCCCACCATTCCAGAGTTAAAAGTGCACGATTGTTCCACAAGCATGTTTCCTCTGTATCTTACTTCTCTGTGGTGGTCCTACTTCACCCTTCTTCAAATTTGGGGTTTTTTTTTAATTTCAACTCTTAGAAATGAGGTGGAACGGTGGAACCCATACTTTAGAATACTTATAGAATATACTTTATATACTTATAGAATACCCAACTGTTTCTTTAACTTAATTGTGAGTGTGTGGTTATCCAGGACAATCCCCAAATCACAGACCTGAGGAGTCGTTTGGCCAGACTGAAGGCTTTGTCCACCAAACCTGATGCTCTACTGTCAAGCTACTCACTAGAACCTCGGGTGTACGGCGAGTGTTTGTACTACCTCCGAACTTACGGCAGTCACGCTTCCACACTTGCCTTTCATCTTAATCAGAATGACATCAAGTTCGTATACCTTTTCTACCTTGATTTTTACCGACATTGCCTTCTCTGTAGTCTTGAGATCTGGAATTTTCAGGGTGGCGGAATTGTATCCCTCTGGGATTGAACCCCAAGTTTGTGATGTCACGATGATGTCTCATTTTCTTGACCAAAACGGTGTATATAGGCTAGAATTGTACCCCCTATTAAAACTTTGATATTGTTATGCACGAGTGGTTCGATTAAATCCACTGGCATCTACACGGAATTATACCCTTATTATATTATAGAACTCACGTTTATTTGGTTAGTGTACAGGGTGGAATTGTACCCCCCTGGAATTTTACCCCGTACTATTGTACCCCTCCTACATCATGGACCTTTTTCTCTCCTTTCCCATATCATTTTAGTATTGCAGATATATTAGTCTAACTGCCACAGACGATTCCTTCTTTGAACAACTACGTAAAATCGTTAATATAGTAAAATAAAAAAGGAATCGTTCAGTGGTTGAAAATTCAACCAAAAATATGTAATGTACAGACTTCTCTATTTTCACCCCACACTGTAAATAAAACATGTGATTGGAATTTGTTTGGATTTTCTGTTTATATTTTGTTGTTATTTTGTCACCAGCATTGCAACCCATAAGGCCATGTTAATTTTTTTTTTTATTTCAAATGAATTTTTGTGCTTATTTTTGAGCCTATTTTAATTTTTAAAGGGATTCTGTACACCTACAGGCAAATATCTTTCATTTGGTACCAACCACATGTAATTCGGTCCAGTAGGCCAGGCTAGCTGTCCTAAGTTTTGAAAAAGTTTTTTTACTAATAAGATTATAAAAACAAACTAAGCAATAATTTAATCAGGTTGTTCGTCGTTTAAAGAAAATAAATAAAACATCCATATGGTCTGAGGCAAAGTTAAGTGGTGAGGCCAAATGTTTGGGCAATCTCTTCGCAATTATATTTCCTTAGTACAATCACTATTTTCTGTACAGTATTGAAAATCCAACATATGTCACTTTAGAAGGCATTCGCTACTACAGTAGACTCCCTTTTATCCGGACACCTTTTAACCGGACATTGGTTTAACCGGACTACACTCGGCGGAAATGTCATTTCTTTAACCGGACAATTTTTACCAGCACATCGGCTTAACCGTACTTGATCGGCAGGAAGTGAGCGAAGAAAAACGAGATCCCAGGATTCGCCCTAGTCTGGTCGCGGGGAGTTTCCCAGGAGTCGATAGTGATTCGGATAGCCTAAATTTGATAGCCCTGGTTGTCAGAGCTCGAGACGAACGTTGCGGGTTACCCAAACACCCAACTCAAAATCACCACTCTAGTCTGGGGCTTGTGGGAAAAATTAATAATTTTAACTTAACTCTGTGGGCAAATATCTAAATTACACTCTACTAGCTAACTTAACGAGTCAACAAGTAAGCTAAGTAGTCACCCCGCTTACCTACGGAGTTAAGTCGTCAACCTGCAACAAACAAGGTTAGTACAAGATAGGCCTAACCTAGCCTAACTCCCACAGAGTCCGAAATTACTAAATGAAAAGAAAACAAGTTAGCCTAAGTGGTCCGGGTGAGGAACGAACAAAAAAAAACGAAACTAAAAAGTAAAACTGCTCCTTGAGCAAAAAAAAAAAACGAAAAGTTAAACTTCTGCTTCCTCACGTGGTCGACTTAAGCAAACCTAGACAAACTTGGTCCAGCAGAGACCTGTCTGCTGGGACGAACTTCGGGACGTGAGATTACTTTTAAAGAAAGGTTAAAGACCTAAAAAGGAGAATCCCAATACGGACGATGAACTTTAGTTAAAAAGTTTACGTCACCAACTATAAAAGTAAAGAAAACAGGAGTTGGTTAAACCGTAAAACTATGGCGGAGTGGTCAGGCCTAGCCTGTAAAAGTTGGCTAGGAATATCGGATTTATCAGTATTTGAGGACTAACCCCAATAACGCCAGTTGAGTATTATTGTAACACTCACCAGTCGAATATCCAAACGATGCTTAACAATAACTTTTAACGAAAACTCGCACACCAACACTACTTTGAATGCACAAAAGACGAACGAACGAATATCTTAACTCGAAGCGAAGCCGGTCAGAGTTAGAATGACGACCTTCTTCTTACCCCTCGACAATCCCCTCAATCCCCTCACGCTCACCTCTGATTGGTCAGAGGTTACCAAAAAAAACCCAAAAAACGAAGCTTGATGCTTGAGGGAAGGCGTAAGAAGAACTAGAGCAAGAAGAAGTAAAATGGGAAGGAAGATGAAGAAGTAAGGCGGAGAAGTAAAACTGGAGCAGACGACGCTCCCCGAAAAACAGTGCGGCGGTTTTTACTTCCTCTCTCCCAGTCGTCTGCTGGTGCGTCTGTCACCTCGGTTTCGTTTCGAGGTTAGGTAACGACGTTGAGGTTAAGTTGCAACGGTTACGTTAGTGCCACGACTAGGCCTACTCAACAGCTTATAATTAGCCGTTTAAACATCGTGGTTTAAATCGTTATTTTTACCCCCCTTCCCATTTGACCCGTTACATACTGAAACGACTGTTTTTGTGGAAAAGATTTGAGACCAGCGATCACGTATATAAACACAATGCTCTCCTAAATTTAAGTCAAATATTTGGGTTGCATGCATTTAAATGGTCCTTTTTAACGAGTTTTTGGGGACGTCGGTTTAACCGGAAAAACCGTTATCTGTACTGGCCTCGGTCCCGGGGAGTCCCGATAAGAGGGAGTCTACTGTATTTCATTTTAATGAAACAAATTAAGTTTATTGAAAGACGTTTAAAGAGAGGTGGTACAGTTCGGCCAAAACTTCTGTGCGCGTGGACGGGTCGCTACTAGCCGATCTAAAACACGCGGGTACCGGCTATTGGCAGTGCTGGGGTTAGGGGTAAGTGAGTAGCAAGATACAAATGTTTTCACAAAAGTACCCCCACCAACCCCCTCACCAAGACCCAACCAAATCTGGTCGTGTGCACAGAAACTTAGGCCAAACTGTACATGGGGGGTACAATTCTGGGCCGTACATCTCCTGCTCTCTTTAATTTAAAATATAATCATCATATTCACTGATCACTTGCCCACATTAAATAGATTAGATACCATTAAAATCAAAGTGTACGGGGTGGAATTGTACCCATAGGCGTGATGTCAAAATGACGTCAACGATTGGTGGGGGGTACAATTCCAGGGGGGTACAATTCCGGTGACGCAAATTTTCAATAATTCTCTGTGATTATGTCAATTCTATCGGTTTTCTAAGTATATAATTTTGTTCTTACATAGGCCTGATTTTGTTGTTATGTTTGTATGGTTATTGAGTTTGTAAATAGCATAAATTTACTGTTATGAGTAAATCAGTAACTTAATTATTGATTTTAATATTTTTTCAGTTTTGCCATTTATTTTATTTTGACATGTGATTATCACCAACCAGTAAATTATCATCTTAATTTTCTTTTACTTGTCATGCTACTCAGCTGAAGACAGTTACTGTATACACTACTTACATTAAGGACCCAGGGGCGGACTGGCCCGCCGGCCCACCGGCCGGTGGGCCGATACGCCTTCTCAACATTCCAATATTTGCGCCCTCGTTAAAGGAAAAATTCATAAAAAATTTTAAAAAATGAGACGAGATGTGTTTTTAGAAAGCAAGAGGAAAAACTTAGAGTAAAAGTTTCAGCAGTGAATAGCAAAACATATAGTCGGGTGTGAGACCTGAATAGACACTGTCGACAAGCGAGAGCAAAGCAGCTCTTCTCTCTCGTACGTGTAGGCCTACTCCGAGTGGAAGGCACTTTACTCTGTGGTCTGAGGTACTTAAAAACAGCTGTCCTCTTCCCGCGTCATTTTACGCATAACCCGAAAAAAACTGCACTGCGACTGCATCCGACATCGGTCGGTGTCACGATGTCGTCTGTGGTAAACAACTAGTGAAGATAATTTAATATTACTCATATTTGTTATAATATTTAATTATTGCTCACACTATAACTATTTCACTTTAAGTCACATTTAATTTTTATCAATGTCAACTCAACTCTCTTGTAAAATGGCGTTTGCCGTGCATGTAATAAATAAATAAAGAGTGTGAGCTGCCAATTAAAATTTGTCTCTCTTTAGTGAGTGTCTGATTTGTGTCTCTGTGTCGAAAGCTTCAATTTATTTTTATATTATTTACCTACACAGGAAACATGAACGAAAGCAGTATTGTAGAATCACTACTTTTACAAAATTTAAATTAGATTTAGTGACAGTGTATTTGTTAACTTAACCATTACACAGTAAAGGTTAAACAGTAAACATTATTTTAATACCGTATGTGGCTACCGCCTATTAATTAATTATTTCAATATGCACTATGGCACTAATTTGGTCAACTTTCCTATTTTACTTACAGATAGCCAGCTCAAAATACCTTCGTAGTTCTCTCTAGGCTATTTCGTTTGTAGAAATAGGTTAGGTAGGCCTACTTTAGGGTTACAGTTTTGACTTAATGTAATGCTAAAAAAGTTTAAGTCAATAAATTGGTTTTGTTCACAGTGAAAGCATATTGTTTGTGTTAAAATAATTTCATAGAAATCTAAAATATATAACTTCTGTTATTTACAGTGCCAAAAAATACAACAGTTGCAAGTTCAGGTTGTAAACAGGAAGCAAATGATTTATATTGTATGCATGCAGCCAAGTCATGCAAGGGAAAATAAAGAAAATACACAAATATAATACGAAAGAACTTAAGAAAATCATTTGTATTTTTATTTTTGTTAGGATTTTTACTGTCAGAATAGCACCAAGTCGTGTGGGTAAATAGTCTAAATTTTGTAAACCAAACATTGACCAATAGTGTCAGTTATCAGATTTCTGATTTTCCACTGTTAATGCTTCTAGATTGCCTAAAAATGCGAGTTTACAGGTATAATTTTTTTTTAATTTCCCGGGGGAGGACCCCCGGACCCCCCCTCTGTACAGGGGGGTATTCCATACCCCCCAGACCCCCCGGTTGGCGCCTTCGGGCTGGTCAAGGTTTACGCCCTAATAGAGTACCCAGTCCGCCCCTGTAAGGACCTCTTCCTGTCCCTACAGATCGGCAGTCTGTGTGCTACTAGAGTATCCTGTAGATACTCAAGTCTACTTAGACAGCTTGTTCCTCCCAGCACTACACACTGCTAGAGTAACTCAACTATACGACAGCATGTCAGAAATTGACAAATCTCTTCTTGTTTTTAAGGTATATTTTGTGAAAGCATATTCCAAACTTTTTAAGTTAAGTTTAAATCAATTAATCAATATCAAGGTTATCAATCATGAGTACATAAATACCTCTAGTTTTAGGGACACATAAGAAAACTCAACTATACATTTAGCAATTCGGGAGTGTCCCTGGACACCAGGTAGGCTCACGCAAACACACAAGGACAGGGGATTAGGACCGGCCACATTCTGGAGTTTTATGTCCCGCGCTCCGTTAATTAGTCACAAGTGGCAATTCCTTTATCAAATTTAAAATTTGTTAACCTAAATATTAAACTTAAAATTATTAGCACTAATCGATTCTACTCATCAACACGAGAAAATTGATACCAAACACAATGTAGCCTTTATAAAACCTGAAATATATTGCAGTTATTTTATGTGAAGGAATATTTATGTAAATTATGGGTTGTTTGGTATCATTTTTTAGCGAATTTCCTATATAGGGAATAAGCTATTACCGTAGTACTCATGGTAAGACCTGGACCCGGGACCAATTTAATTTTTCATTTTGAGGTCCCTAGAGGCCAAAAAAACCATCCGTACAAATTCATATATATATATATATATATGTGTCCGTTAGTGTTAGCGCGATAACTCAAGCAAAAATGATCTGATTTTGATGAAATTTGGTATAAACGTGTAAACCAACGTTCGCGAACCAGCATGATTGGACCATGGGAACGGGGTTTATGGGGGGTTTTATGGGGTAAAAATGGGGTTTTCCCATTTTTGACCCTAAAAACAAAAAAAATTGCAATTTCTTTTTAAACTGTTTTGTAGAGCTTAAAAAAAGAAATAATTTAGGATATTGAAGCGCTGTTGTATGCCTAATGGTTACGGAGAAAATTCAAAAATAGTGTAATTTAAAATTCCCATGTTATTCTTATGGAGAAAATGAAAATTGTTGTAGTTTACTTGTTTATGGATATATATTGATAAAATTTGGCAAATTTATTTGTTTCATCCTATACTATTGATGTATGGTCAAAAAACACTTTTTACCTTCCCCGTAGCAGCAAACCTAAGCACTCGTTAAATCTAATGTTATTTAAATAGGGAATAAATATGTCTTATTTATGGAAATATTTTAGTAAAAATTTAATCAGACAAGTTGAAATTCGCTTAGTCTGCAGGTTTGCTGCGGCGGGGGTATTTATTGTAATTTTCAATGGAATCTAAATGTAGTAACTGTTTTTATTTAAAACTAGCTGTGTACCCGTTCTACACACAGGGATATTTTAGTATTCGAGTTGAAACCTTCATATATAAAAACTAGGGGTCTGCGGTGCACCGAAAAAGTCGGTACGGTACGGTACAAGCTTAATTACCGTCATCGGTTCGGTACAGCATTTTACACTGTACAGATTCGGTTCGGTACAGCCTATTATAATAATAAATTACTTTCAGTTTACTATCGTAGTCAACGGCAGTTGGTTCTGAAGACATAAAAGTCTTATCAGATGTTTGTTTACGGTCTTCATAATTTATTACTAGGGTGATGATGCAATAAAAAACCCATTAGCAGTCCCAAATTCATTAACATTTTATCACAACAATAATTGTTGTATTCAAGTACTTCCAAGAACTGTTGAGTTTTATCACTTTTATTCCTTTACGACTTTCCCCAATTCTATTTTATCATAAAAATAATAGTTTTATGATGACTGTTAAATTTTATCTTTAACTCAGTCAGTATTTTCGTGAATATTCAATTTGCCGCTGGCCATTGCCTACTGCCATAAAACTGTTTATGACTACATATTAAAATTGTAACTAATCTACAATCATAAATAAAACGAGAGTATGTTTTATCTATGCTATAATCTTATTTTATAAGTTAAAATATTTGTTATGGATATTTTATCTTTCTATTGTTTGCATATTTTTTTCGTTATCCAAGCCTACTCAGTCTCAAATTATGTCATTGCATCTTCTGTATCTTGTCTTATATTTTAGGATGTGACTGTTAAAGTTTAAATGTTTTTTTGTTTCCTGTATTTATTATTGTGTTGAAGGTACTTTATGCAATCTAAATCTTATGAACTAGAATTATGATAGTGATTTTGCTACTCTCATTGTAACCTGTTGAGGATTTTATATAGTATTGCTTTGCTTAATGCTATATAATCAAATATCTTTTTAATGTGTCTTTTAATATCAGCTGCTTGATTATATTATTATGTTGTTCTAATATGTTCACAGTTTGAAGTGTTAATGTTTTAATATCTTTCCTTTTTACATCAATTATTAATAAAGTATTTTATGTATTTTATTCCCTCATTTCATCAGGTTATGGGCCCAGAAGACGTTTTTGATATAATTCATTTTGAATATGTATAAAACTACATTAAAATGAATAATTCTGGACTGATGGTGTTTGGTAAGATTTCTAGGCTTATGATGACTAGGCTTATGATATTTTGTTACCCAATTTCTTGAACTGAATTTTTATGTTGTTTGACCTAAAATGGAAACTACACAAGAAAACACTGATACAACTCATACTATTACACCTACCTCAAATAATACAGGCTTGTCTAGTATGACAAATGTTATAATGGGAGGAAATAGTAATGTTGAACGTCTAGAGGGTGTTTCAAATTATAACAATTGGAAGTTTTCAATGAAAATGGCTTTAATAATTGATGGACTTTGGGATTGTGTATCTGATGATACTGAAATCAAAGATAAAAACAGGGATCAAAAGGCTCTTGCAAAAATTTGTTTAAATGTTTTGCTTACTTGTTATCCTTACGTTAGAAATGCTAACACTGATAAAGAAGCTTCCCTAGTAGCAAAAATATATTTTCATTATATTGAAACAATATTGTCCAATATTTACAACAATATTGATTTCTTCAATATTAAAACAATATTGTTTTAATATTTTGCCAATATTGCACAATATTGGTGTTATTCAATATTAAAACAATATTGTTTAAATATGTTCCCAATATTGTTCAATATTGTAAAACAATATTGTTAAGGTAATATTCAAACAATATTGTTTTAATTCCTTTCCAATATTGAACAATATCTATAGAAAAATCTTGTTATCAACTTAGTTTAAATATTGATGAAATATTCATTAAATATCGGCAACACAATACATGTTAGTAGTTAACAAACCAATTTTGCACCATTGGCATAAACAAACCTACTATTATAACATTTTACTGTGCACTTAGGAGATTTTTTATCCGCTATCATCATTGTAGAAATTTTCGTCATATGCCACTGTCAATTATTACAATACAGGGTGTCTGGTCTGTAAAGTCCATCACTAAACTTCATAATGGTTTATTGGGTTAAAATAAGCAAAAAGGTTCCTCTAGGGGTATGTACTTCAATGCATACCCATGTAGCACACATTGTTGGCCCAACTTTGGGAAATGGTCGGCACGGTTGGGAAATGGTTGGAGGAAATTTTAACTCCTTGCCAACGTTGGCCCAACGGAAACTTGTATTTGTTGGCCCTACAAAGGAAAGAATCGTTGGGCCTTTGTTGGATTTAAGTACAAAACATTCTAAAATGCATTTTAACAAATTATTGATTTATTTATAAGAACATAAATGCTATGACAGCAGAATATAAGACGATTTTAGAGAAAATTGGATCTGTCAGAGATAATGTTGTGATAGTTGTGGTACTAGATACAGTGGTGGAACACCTGCTTAAAATATAATTCGTTTTACAAGTTTCTGTCCCCGTGCGGTACCGGGTTAGAATAGCACCGCAGCCTTCTCGGGCTTGTCGTAAGAGGCGAATAAAAGGGTGACCGACGAACTCACTGGGAGTCCCTGGGAGTGCCCCTGTTGTGTTGCAGGGGTTGATGTGTGCTCTGCACTGCCAATGGGTTTTATCAGTGGGTCGTGAGAAACCAGCCACTTCGGTCCTTGGTCAGGGAGTGCGGCATGGATGCAGAGGTCGGGCTCTGCATTGCGACGGGCGACCCCCGGCATGTCAGGTATCCGGTGCTGGGCAAACGGAGGTCGGGCCCCGGGGAACCGGGGTAGGGGTTTTTTGTCCCCGAGGGTATACCTGTTCCTGACTGATTCCGGGCCGCTCCTTGCCGCACGATGCGCTGGAGAAAACACGATGAGTTTTAATAAAAATCCTACAAACACATCATGGAATAGGAGCTCAAATGAGCAAAATGAAGCGTCTGAAGTGGAGCAGAACCCCTTTGATCGAAGCTCCAAGCTTAAGAGGTCGCCACCACCGAAAAACGTAAGGACATCTCCGCCACCTGCACCTTTCAAGTGCTCTACGTTTTACCCCGTTAGGATCCCTTTCGGCAAGTGGAGCTGGAAACGGTCCAGAAAATGTTGGCGATGTAGATGTCGAACTGGCATTGCCGGGAACTGTTGTAGGGATGCCGAAGGAAACCTTCACAGCGACGTCGCGGTCGGAAAGCTCTGAGATTGTGCTTCTGCGTCAAGAATATCTTGACGCAGATAGTAACATTGAAACCCGGCTCCGTGACATGGAAAAGACGATTAAGGCTATGCTGGACACCTTCCGGACCCAGAGAGCCGTAAACCAAGTGGTAAAAAATGGAATGGCAAAACTAGAGGATGACCTAGGCTTCGTCTTTGCCTGCCGTCTGGTAAGCAAGGCGACCATGGAAAAGATTGCCGAAAAGGTGGTGTCCCTGCCCGATGAAAGAGCGCTGCCTTCTAAGAAACGTCGGAGGCCTTCCACATTGGAGAGTCCTCCAAAAAGAGAAGAAGGCGTCCAGACCAAAAAGACCACGGTAAAGGCCAAGGCGACTCAGACGGACCTCTCGTCTGCTGTGCCCAGACCCTTTTCGGACGTAGCTGCATCTCGAGCGAGGCGCCAACTGGCACAGCAACCCACGACCCCTCTTCAGGGAAGTTCCCGAAAGGGGTCAGTGGTGGAGACACCTGGGGCTGTTTGGGAAAAACGCCTTTCCAAAAAGGAGAAGAGGCAATTGAGGCGGGCGGAGGTCG